AGGTTTGAACTAACACCTGGAGGTTTGTCCAGTCATGGATATCAAATCAAACGGCAGCCAAATGAACATTTCTACTCCATTTCCTCGTCCTTTTCCACCATGGATGATAATCTTACCAGAAAATGAGAAAACTGCGTACAGCATCTCTTATAGTTTGATACTGATATTTTCRATATTAGGCAATTCACTCATAATCRCCATTGTGCTTCGCAACAGGCATATGCAATCTACAAGTAACTATCTTATTGCCAATATGGCCTTTTCCGAYTTGGCTGGATCTATCGCTGCAAWCGCTCCAATCCTCAGGTTTTTACATCACATGTCTTATGAATGGAYGGCAAGTGGTACTTTGGGAAACATTCTTTGCAAGCTTGGRCCATTTACGCAGGACGTTTCAATCASCGTATCTATTGTCAGTATGGTTGCTATTGGGTTTGATCGCTTCTTTGCTGTTGTCTTTCCTATGAGGGAAACTCCACGAGTATTCGAGACTCGCTTTGTACTTCCTTTGATCTGGGCTATCGCYSTTGCATCATTTTCCATCCATTTGATCACTTACAAWTTAGTAGTCCTTGCACCAAACGTKTATATCTGTCAAGTTGTCTGGCCTGAAAATTTCGATCACAAAAAATCGAGTACCATCGTTTTTTTGATAATTTTCGTCTTTTATTTTGCCATACCATTTGTTWTCATTGCAATAATTTACATAGCTATTGCTTACAAAATGAAGACACAGACTGTCCCAGGACTGCAAACRGAAGATGTGGAAAGAAAAAGACGTAGAAGGAATCATGGGATTATAAAGATGGCATTTACAATCGTGATGTGCTTCTTCGCATGCTGGGTCCCATACCACATTTTATGGTTGATTGAGAARTTTGTATGGAAAGACAAATTACCAGTTTCCATTCAACCTTWTTACGGCGTTTTAGTAGAATCAACTATTATTATTTCCTATCTAAGCTTTTTCACAAATCCTCTGGTTTGCATTATTTTCAGTAGTAATTATCGAAAATGTCTTAAGAATACATTTCCATTCAGTTTGTGCTGCCTGTCGAATCGAATTGGTATAGTTGACACTGGATCAAGACCAACAGACGGGACAACAGACAGTCGAACAAGAAAMAACACTATGAYAATGGCAGTCATTGAGTGACTGATCCGCCTTCATATTATGATCATGAACAGCAACAAACAACCAGGCAGGTGCAATGACTTTTAAGTCTTAGTATACACTTAGCAATTCACATTGAAGGAAGACTGAAATGATCTTAAAATTTAAAGTACCTTGTAATGCAAGGGATTATAACTTTGGYAACGATTGGAACTCAATATGTACAGAACTACAAGAGTTATATTATTCTTATGTAAACTATTTATATTCAGCTATATATCTAATGTATATCTTTTTAGCCTCACAAAAAACTGATGCAGCCAGAACTCTTGATCGACTCWATTTTTTTCATTGCTACCAAGGTGCACGGCTCTGCTGGACAAACAGCGTATGTACACCTTCAATGCAATCAAAGATCAATGAAAAATGTGCTAGCACATGGGGATTTACAAGAAAACTCACCCACATTCTTATGACTACTATGTACTTAGTTAGATTCCCTATTATACATGTGTATGTTCTACACTAAGGCCGAGGTTATCTGATCTCACATGTCCCGAATGCAATTACATGAAGAAGACCGATAAGTATCTATTGTTTGAATTGTTGTGGCACATGTGAAATTCGATGTATAATCTAGTCCTAAGAGTCCCTTTGTATACAAGTTGATTTTGAAATATAATTTCATTGATAATTATATGATAAACAGAATATTATACATGGTTGCTTGCTGTTAACCCATATTTCATATTGCAAAACAAAAATAAAATTCGATGAAATATAGCACAAGGAAACCAGTAAAGGAAAAGATAGTGAATAAACTAGCGATTTTTATCAAAAGTAATAGTAAGTAATAGTGTAACTCGTATTTCTCCGCTCCTCGGTCCATTCTATTCCAAAGCACGTACACACGGCCATTTGGTACTTTAGTTTGTTCCTTCTGGAATCCTTCCCTCGTATTTCTTTGAGCGAGTTCAACATCAAAAACTATTGTAATTTTTCTCTTGTTTTTCTCATCTGCAGACTTTGTCATCGTTATATTTGCGGGCAGAGGCATACGGAGTTCCAAATCCAATAGAAAATCGTCAATATCAAAGTTCGGCAAACAACAACAACAACAACAACAGTTTTATTTATGAATTATCCTTATAGTTACATGTGAAGTTTACCCTCGCAGTTAGTCCAAGACTATTCGAGGCGAGGGCGATAATGAAGGAGAAAAACTAGTATAAAAATGTCAAACGTATTTTGAGCTATACACAAATCGTCGTCACTGTTCGACATCGTTTCCAGAATGACTGTTAAGAATATTTGATAACAATATTCAAAATTGGATAGCTCGCTTTCGCATGAACAGGTTTTCTTAAAGGAAACTAATTTCAACAGTCCATGAAAAGGTCTCGAGAGGATTCTATTGTTCGAATCACAACTAAGAAAACATTCATTTAGTCTATTCAGTCTTTGCGAAAACCACGTGAATTGAAAACTAAGTTTGTTAGTTACCTCGCACGTATAGCGTAATGCCGACGTGCGAGGTAACTAACTCTTACTTTGTATGATCTTTATTAAGAAGAGCGCTGTGGGATTTTGCAGAGTCCTCAGCGAAGATGAAAGCCTGATTTTAAACGTTTTTATTCATTAAAGAAATAAAAATAACATTTTCTTTCCTAAAATACATAGTATAAATTTGTTTTGATATTATGATAATATAAACTTGATAGTTTGCTTTTAGTTAGTCATTTGTTTATCTGATATTATGCTAATATAGTACTTGATTCTAAGACTTGACAATTCATACATCTTATCAATGATAATTTTCTTTAACTTAAACTTGTATATCTTCTGATATTATGATAATATAAAACTCGATCAGGCACATACACGTAGCAAGTTCAAAGAGCATAAATCGTCTCTTCATCGGGTAGGTCGAGTGGTCTTCAAAAGACATCTCCTTAGAATTTGTTCGATGATCTGAGAATTCCATGCCGAAATATCGAACGTGTTAGCCCACAACAATGCTGAAAGACTTATTAAAAACAAACTGTCTTCCTCTAGAAATATCGCTAAAGCCATTATTACTGTGATGAATGTAACCCCCTCTTCAAACATTTCATCGTAAAGAGAAATGTTGACAGCTGATAAAGAGATTTGCTGGCTCAGAAATACGGACATCGCCTCAAACTCCAAAATATCGACTTTGAAATGAATATTATCGTGCGACACAGGGATCCCATTTTTGTTTGAAATAGTGTGCTGCTCGCTCGCTGCGCTCGCTCGCAGCAATTGTTATAAAATAATTAGGATATATGAATAATTCTAAACACAAGTATCGCAGGCTTAAGTTCACCGGAAAGTGAGTGAGTGACTGGCTTTACGATTGGCAGATTGGTCCCCCTCCAATAAGAGACTGCGCAATAATTACCAGGAGGGGGGGGGGGGGGGGGGGGGGTGGGGGAGGTAGAACCAGTTTTCTCAAGCAGACAATTAGCATGGCCAGAAAATCCGGACATTTGAGCCCGTAATCGCAGCGGTACTTCGCATAAAAACATTTTACAAAGAAATGTATGGATCAAAAAAAATATTTGAGAATAACATTTCATCTATTTTAACTGGAAAGATTCCATAGATGAATTCGTAGAGGGAAACTATTCTTGATTCCACTGTAGGAAATCCAAATAAATCCAATATTGTTAACAGCGTCCTTTTTGACAATTTATTTTCCTTTCGTCGTCTCCCTTTGGCCTTGTATCTCATGGTGAAAATTCGCGAAGAAGCGAAATTTCACCGTAGCTGATCGTGTTCCTTTACATGTCACTGATATTCCATAGATCATTTCTCAAAGTCCACATATTGAGGTAGGAACACAGCGATTTTCAGCTATTTTGAAGACGATCAACAGCGTCCTTTTTGGTACTAGAAATCGTACAATTTGAAAACACTAACTTGACGCTGAAATGGCTGGCGAAGACGCGTGTTTCACGCGAATACTTGGCCTGATCTTCCATTTTATTATCCATGTTTGGTACCAAAATAAACCTTAGAAACATGGCTTTCAGACTGGGACTGCTTTAATTTTGGAGGTTTTTACTGGCGCCTTGCGCGCACTGGTAAATAGCGCAGATAGCGGGAAATACGAACGAAAGATAGGCCAATCAAGTCTAGTGTAAACAATGTCAGACCTTTTAAATTCCTTAGAAATGTACAAGTATAAACAAAAGATCACAATATCAACTGATGATCATTGTTTAAAATACCTGAGGGAAACGTGTGTTCCAGCAAATAATATTAT